AGGGATGCTTCAATACTTACCTCTGATACTGGAACTGCCAGTCAAAGGGAGATCTCCCTCGGACCGGCAGTGCCAAGGGAGCATGGAGGCGGCTTCCTTTCCAATCTGGAAGATGGGCGGTGGGTTATGACCCGCCTCCCGGCTTCCTGATTGGCTAGGAAGCTGGCTTCACGTGTTGCTAAGCAGCCTGGCTTCCTAACCAATCAGGAAGCCGGGCAGCACTTAATGATCCGCCTCGTAGCTTCCTGATTGGTCAGGAAGCCAGGCTGCCTAGGAACAAGTCAAGCCGGGAGGTGGGTCATGACATCCTGCCCAGCTTCCTGATTGGATAGGAAGCTGGCTTCACATGTTGCTAGGCAGCCTGACTTCCTGACCAATCAGGAAGCTGGACGGCACCTCATGACTCGCTGCCCGGCTTCCTGATTGGTCAGGAAGCCAGGCAGCCTCTGTAGCCAGTGTGCTTTCACTAGAACACTGTCTTCACAGGCAATAGAGAGGACGGACGATGGATCATGACCCGCTGCCCAAGTTCCTCATAATCGGGGGGCACAATGCACCGGCACTCGGTATTGGCGAGTACCAAAAAAAAATATCGTACTCGGTTGGCGTCTGACAGCATCTAACTGGCCATTTCTATAAGAGAGCAATTTTTTCGTTCTGCTACACCGTTTTTGTTCAGGGATGTATGGTGTGGTGCTCTGGTGTACTATACCTTGTTTCTTCAGGTAGGATTCCACCTTCTTACTGATATTTTTCCCTCCATTGTCTGTGCATATAATTCCTGGTTTCCATTGGAATTTGTTGCTGGACATGGCTACAAATGCTTTATCAGATAAGTTGTTGCATACCTGGAATAGCATAGTTACATAGTATTTGAGGTTGAATAAAGACATAAGTCCATCAAGTCCAACCTGTTGTGTGTGTGTGTGTGTGTATAGGTCCATGAGTGTTCTCATTCTTAAGAGTACCTGTACCCTTGTGCATTTCGGTCTCTCAGGAAGTCATCCAAAAGCCTCTTGAATGATTCCAGATTAATTGAGGAAATTACCGCTTGAGGCAGTAAGTTCCAGACCCTAACCGCGCAAACTGAGAAGAACCCCCTTCGCCCCTTGTGTTTGAATTTTTTTTCTACCAGTTTTAGGTGGTGTCCTCTAGTCTTTGTTACGGAATTAATCTCAAAGAGTTTGTTGCTAATGTTGCTATAACTATGGAACATTTTGTACGTGAAAATCATGTCCCCCCCTAATCTCCCTACTTCCAACGTAAACATGTTTAAATTCAGTAGCCGTGTCTCATAGCTCTGGTCCTCCATCCCCTTTATGAGTTTGGTCGCCCTCCGCTGGACTTTACAATAGCCACATAGCCATCAATGAAAGTCAGCAGATATCTGTTCCCGCCTGATGTGGGAGTTTTCATTGGTCTGCACATGTCACTGTATATGAGCTCCATGGGGTAGATGGTCTTTCTTTGAGTGGCCGATAGAAGTGGGGTATGTGTGGCCTTTGCTTCCATACAGCAATTGCATGTCATGAGCATTTGGCAGGGCAGTACGGTTATATCTTCCGATAAGCCTCTCTATTCTGACTCCGATTGTTGTATTAGCGATTTATCCCTTGCTGAGAATTCTATGCCTGGCCTGTATAAGCAGATATAATCACTGCGGACAATCATTATCAGATAGCTGAACTCACCAAATACCTTTTCATCCACGAAAGTCCTTTATTGTTTGCAGCAGGTATGTTACAGCAGACTACAGGATACAGCAGATGAATGAATAGACAGTATTTGAAGGTCGGAGATAGTAATGTTTCCAACCATGCAATGCAGATTAACATGTGGTCATGTTACTGTCAGCCATGACACTCGTGGCTCGTACTAATAAGAAAGGGGAAATACATCACAGATGGGAGGGAACACAGAAAAACGTGCAATAACGGGAATGACCACAAGATGGCAGCACATGAACTAGTACAATGCTACTCACAACACATGGCTTAAAGAAAATTAACCATTTAAATTCTCATTTCACATTAATGTCAATATCAACTATGACTATTGTGGCAGCACACTCTCTTTTTATAATATCTTTTATGCCTTCTGGGTTTCGGTGCCCTAGAAGTCTGCCATAGATGGATACATTTGCTGAGTGGAGTATGAGTGTCTGTTTTGACTTATTTGTCTGGTGTGATGAGTCTGTATAGCTGTTCATCCAATTTTCCTTTTGCAAGGATTTGCTTATTGTTTCGGATTGTATATTCATCGCCTCGGAATTGAACTGAGAGACCGTTATTAGCGGGGTTTTCACTGATAGAAGGCTTCCTTCTAGGTCTAGAACATACAGTAGCTATTGACTCAGCAGACAGCTGGCGACTTCTGCGCACTGTGCACTTCAGCATCTGGTGACCCCGCTCTGTCATTTTACGTGGACTACCACTTCGTGGCTGAGTTGCTGTTGTTCCCAGTTGCTTCCACTTTGTTATATTACCACTAACAGTTGACCGTGGAATATTTTGTTGCAAGGAAATTTCTCGGCACACCTGAATCCAATGGTTTGGAAGGCTGTCCCAATACTTTTGGCAATATAGTGTATTTTGACTCCTCTTTTATGCCTGACCTAAATATCCTATCCCTTGATGTTAAGTGATTCAATTCCCCACAGAAAAAAGGCGCTTAGCATTTCGCTCCTTTCGCTCCCACAAAGCAGACATTTTATGCTTACAAGAAACTCACTTTAATACTTCATCTCCCAAATACTTTGACACTCATTAGCCTCAAATATTTTTAGCCAGTGCACCTCTTAATAAAAGCGGGGTTTTAATTGGCTTTTGCTGCTCCACTCAATTTATATGTAACAGAGAGATCTCAGACACAGGTAAGAGATACCTTATTTTAGTGGGACAACTTTTGGATCAAGAAGTAACCTTTGTTACCTACTACGCTCCTAACTCTAATCCCCTCCCGTTCTTCCGACATCTAATTCAAACAGTTATGCATCACCAATCGGGCTCACTTATTATCTGCGGAGACTCCAATCTAACAATATCTTCCGCCCTAGACAAATCCACCCTCCCAACTTCTCCGACCTTTAACTAGTCATCTTTCAGAGACCTATAGACAAAATCGATCTGCGCCAGTAATGACACAAAATAAGTGCAAAAAAGCTACTAGGCACTGCAATTGTAACTAATATAATACAAAATACTTTAAACAATAATGTGACGAGCTAGAAAAACAATCAAGTGTAAAACAGTGACAACAGTGAGCACCCCTTCGTTTTTGTGCACTCACTGGGTGGAGGTAAAGGATTAGAAAGAGTCGATTGTCCTGCACACTAAGAAGCCTTTTTCGGAAGACTGCCCTTGCCATTTGCACACATTGAATCACATTGTCTGATTCGTTATTTGAACCACATTGTTTGATTTGTTTTGGACTTTACTTCATTGTGCATGTCATGTGGTCTGAGTTTAGCCCATAACTCTTGTTGCATTGTCACTGTTTTACACTTGATTGCAAATCAATGCCTGTTTGCATGATATTCTTTTATTTCCTCACAAACCCCTTTGTGTCTTTACCCAATTTGACATCCCTCCTTCCACGCGTTGGTGATCACTCTGGTCTCCACTTGAATCTGGACAAATGTAAAGCTCCCCTAATTGTTGATCATCTACGCTCCTCATTCCCCTTCTCCTGCCTAAACTCTAGCATCCACTTATTAGGAATTTGTATCACAGCCTCTTATGCCTCCCTTTATCAGGCTCACTATCCCACCTTGCTCCGAAACTTGTCATCCTTATTAGCAGCTTGGAAATCTTATCCCCTATCCTGGTTGAGACAGATAGCTGCGATAAAAATGACCTTCTTACCTAAACTTCTATAATATTTCAGGGTTCTCCCAATCCCTATCCCGTCTCACACACCAGGCATTTTGCAACGTCAACTGTTGCGCCTGATATGGGCCAACAAAGACCCCGTATATATGCACATACTTTATACCAATCTAAACTACACAGTGGTTTGGAAATCCCCAATATTCTCCATTATTACCATGCAGCACAAATAGCTCCTCTCACCAAATTTCTTGCTATCAATGAAACCCCACTGTGGGTGGCCCTTAAGGCCTTTGATTGTGTGGACAACCTACTATGGCTACCTCCCCATGACCGATTGACATTGCAAAATCTGATAACTAAGCATTTTCTCAAAATGTGGTGCTAAAATTTTCTAGTGGCTTTATTTTTCCACACTTACCCCTTCTTTCCCCTTTACAAAATCCAGCCTTCCCTCCTGGTATAGAATCTTCTAGTCTTTTTCGTAAATGGACCTAAAAAGGACCCTTACTTTTTTGAGTCCTCTTCAGTTCCGCGGGTGTGCTCCCTTTTCCAATTCTGAAATAAAAATTAGACTTCCCAAACTCCGAAATCTTTCGATACCTACAGATTAAGCTTTATGTTACCTCACTGATCCGAAAGTACCCCACTGTCCTCGAGCGAAGCTCTACTTAACCTACAACCACAGAACTTATCCAGAAACCAATTTGCATTAATGACCCACATTTTTACGTCTGCTAAACTTACTATTGCGAGCTCCTGGAATTCCCCTTCGCTTAATTTTTCTATGGTCAAAACTAGGGATGTCCCGATACCACTTTTTCAAGACCAAGTACAAGTACTGTCCCTCATGTACTTGCCGATACCAATTACCGATACTTTTTCTTACAGTGACATATTTTCTAAACAATACAGACTAATGATTTTAGGGCAGTTTCTCACCAGGGCTGCATGCATTGGAGGGGACATTTGGGGTCTTTTAGACCTCTAGTGTCACCTTTCCACTTCACTGGATTCAGCTGCTGGGGCAGCTGAATGTTAATACAGCAGGCAGTGGCTGGGAGCAATAGCAAGGCTGCTATTGGATATTTTAAATTGCAATAGCCAATAGCAGGCTGGCTATTGCACCCACCCACTGCCTGCTATCAATCAGCAAAGGAGGGAATTGAAGACAAAGTTCTCCATCAGGTCCTCTCTGCTGATTGACAGCAGACAATGGGCGGGTACAATAGCCAGCCTGCTTATTGGCTATTGCAATTTAAAATATCCAATAGCAGGCTGGCTATTGTTACAAGTGTCCATTCCTTTTCCACTTGATGAAACTGTTTCCTTTTGGTTATATATCTCAAAGTGTCAGCTGTGACGTACACAGAAGTTTTCACTCTCAATGAAAGAAGGGAAGGTCCGTTCTGTGTGTTGGCAAGATTTACGGCTTCTCTCATCTCATCCCCCGTGAACACACAAAACGGACATTCTCTTCTTTCATTGAGAGTAAAAGCTTCTGTGTACGTCTAGTGAATGCATTATTAAACAAATAAGGAGCACGGACATCTGACACTTTGAGATATATCACCAAAAGGAAACAGTTTAATCAAGTTGAAAGGAGGGGACACTAAAGGACCGAGGAGCAGCAGCAGCTAAGGTACAAGGGGGGGGGGGCAGCGGGGGATTTCAGAGTCACAGCCATAGTCTCTTCTCCCCTCTTGTGTCGGCTACAGCGGTCTGTGAAAGGGACACAGACCACTGTAGCCAGCACCAGCAGGGAGAAGAGACTGTCCACACAGAACACTTAACGCCTGCCACGCTGTCACACTTCCGTCCGGAGAGGCCAGAGCGGAGAGGGAGGCTGCATTTGGTAGAGAGGTATTCCAGGGGAGGGGCTATGCGGGTCAATGGCCGAAGCTATTTTAACAACATTTAAAGGGCCGGTATCGGCTCTATGTATCGGGGCATTTTCAGGAGTACAAGTACTCCTGAAAATGCCCTGTATCGGGACGTCCCTAGTCAAAACTTGTGTTCACTCGACACTCATTCATGAGAAACTTTCAGCCAAGTTATCCAACTCAATGCCAAAATTCTATCAAATTTGGGATTTCTTCCTCCCAACTTTTATCGCCGCTTATTAAACCTTTAATGCAACAGTTTGCTCCTTATAAATGACTGACCTGACTCTCAGAGCTTCTTTCTCCTTTTTCGTCACCCCCTCTCATCTCTCCTTCTTCTCCTCCCCCCTTTTCCCCTTACTAATAGATATCTGTTGCCCATGACCCCTAATCAATACAGATAACACTATGTAGCTTAAATTTAAGTTGACTGATAAATATATCTAATGATTTATTCTATGTTCCTTTGCATATGTACGCCACATTATTATCTACTCATTGTACTTAACCCTCCATAGAGTGATTTGATATTCTATTGTTCGATACCTTTGTATTCTTGTTATCACTTTTGTTAAAATCCAAAAAAATTACCGGAAAAAAAAATGTATATGCGTAAATGATTGGTTAAACCCAGATTTTTTTTTTCACCATTACTTTTGCTTTATAGTGGTTTTTCAAAATAGCAAACACTTTTGGTGGTTAAATAGTATCTTTGCATAGATATCTGTACATCCTACCAAAAAGAGGGGCAATTGAGGAGGATAGGGATTTGGTTCTAAATGAGGGACAGTTAAGAGGAATATTTGCTCTGCATTGGGAAAGGACAGGTTTGCTTTAACTTGTTGTAACTGTCAGCGTCTGTAAAATACATAAGATGTACCACTATTTATCGTTATTTAAGCTATATAATTGTTTTTAAATCTGCAAACTCTTGTACCTGCCCTCTGTTCTTATGGCAAATGCAGTAAACAATGTTTATTTGTTAAAATCAGCCTCTTGTGCTTTCACTGCCATTGCTTCTATTATAATACTATAAAAAGAACAAGTGTGGGTATAATGGCCAAAAATGTGATGGTGACATCAGTGCAGAATTTTGACAGAAGACAATGAAGAATTCTTTGTATGTTTTTGGTAGACAATGGATAAGAACTGTGCATGAATCACAAAAGCCGCCAGCCGCCCATGAGATTGTTACAGGCGTTGTATGGTACGGGCTGTGTACAGCACACATAGGAGTGAATGCAAATTATTTCTGGAGCCTGTACGCAGATAAGGAGCACATTAGAAGTCTTGTGATTTGTTTGAGAGTGACATTGTGTTAAAGAGGCATGTTGCACCAAGGCCAGCCCTGAAACTTCTGTGCTCCAAGTCCCTTCAGTAGAGACAAAGAGAACAAAAGTCCTATTTTCTAAAGGAAAGGTAATTATTTGACAGCCTTTCAACATTTGTTAGTGTAATTGGGCAGGTTTGTCAGAATAGCTGAAAAGTTTAAAGTATTAGCGTGAATCGATGTTACTTTGTGTACACGTATTCTATTTTTTTCTTAACTGTGACTACTAATGCAGTATATTACCACCTGCCATACAATGTTTGTCTGTACTGTATGTGGTTTTGCATACTGGTGGAACTGCATAGAAGTATTACTTTAAGTTAGATTAAGGTGGGCGAGGTTTTAGCTGGCCTTCCAGTGATTTTTAGTCTGGCTTTGTCCCTCTGATCCCTGACTCTCTTTGTCAAGGCACCACCTGTTTTGTGTATTAGTGAGCACTGAGTATTTCTTTCAGCTAGTGCATCCAAATTTCATGTACAGGCTGGCCTGTAGGAACAGTGGATTTCACGTGTGGCATGCATGTAGTATTGAAGGGCCTATTTGAAAAGGAATGTTGTACACAAAGGTCCTCTTATCCTTTTTAAGATATAAACGGTTTCACACAGTTCATAAGGTAAGCTGCCTATAGTCTGCTTATATATTTATTACAAACAATGGGGATATTACAAACGATGCTGAAGATGTGTTTTATATACACAAGTGTTAAGAAGAAGCTGAAACACTGTATAGAATTTTGAAGGAAGAAATTAAATTCTTCTCTGGTTTTAAAGCAGTGATATGGCCTTACCACCGCCATCAGGGGCGGACCTACCGCCGTTGCAGCCGCATCGGGGCCTCAGCCTACAGGGGGGCTCAGTATCCATTCCAACACAGCCCCGGGGCAGAGATGGGGGGGTCCGCCGGTGTCCGGCCGCCGAATACCATCGGATCGGTATCCAGCGGGCCCCCCCATCTCTGCGCCGGGTGTGTCCGATAATCACATTGGTATCCGGCAGCCGGCGGCCCTCCTCATCTCTGCGCCGGATGATCCAACACTCTCGGCACAGAGATGAGGGGGTCCGCCGGCCTCCGGATACTGTGGAGGAAGCCGAGAATAAAAAAAAAGCTGGCAGGCACTTCAGGGGGCAGCCCTGGGCCTCGGCCGTGAGGACCCAGCAAGCAGCCGCCTGACTACACGGGCGCGCTGTCTGAGATAGACACACACACACTAAGGTGGTTTTCTGCAGCCTCCCCCACCAGAAAACAGCCAGAAGAGGTGAAAGTAAGTTATTAAATAAAATAATTATTTTTTGTAGCCCAACTGATGGCCATGCTGTATAAAGTACTACTGGTAGTGCTATAAAGCAGGTCCCATTCTGCATTGCAACAATGCAGAATGGCACCCTCTATAGGGGACTACAAATCTCAGCGGTACTTTATACAGCATTGCCATTTTTCCAACCTTTTTGTGTGTGGTTGCTACAAGGTATGTGGGTTGGGGGGGTTTGTGTTTCTTGGGGGGGTGCGGGGGAGCCCCCCCCAAAAATCTTGTACTAGGGCCCTTTGTTCCCTAGGTCCGCCACTGACCGCCATACTTCTGCTTTGAAAAAAACAGAACAAACAAACAACACATGTATAAGGCACAATGGTGTGCTTTACAAATGTACTTAGCATTCTTGATAGCTTTGGCGCACCAAAGCAAACAGAGAGCCTAATATATATATATTGTAGAAGGGTGTGGCAATGCCACAATGGGATTTGGCACCATTACCCCCAAGAACACTCCGTTAGAGGGGCTAAGAGGTTTCACAATGGGAATACCTTTGCAGAGGAGGAACTGGCTGTTCACACCCTTCTACAATATATATATATATATATACTAGGGATGTCCCGATGCCACTTTTTTAAGACCAAGTACAATTACAAGTACTTCCCCTCAGGTACTTGCTGATACCAATTACCAATACTTTTTCTTAAAGGGATATGTGACATTTTTTTCTAAAACAACACAGACTGATGATTTGAGGGCAGTTTCTCACCAGAGCTAAATAAAGATGTCCCCAGCATACAAGTCCATGTCACCACAGCAGCATACAAGTCCATGTCCCCACACCAGACTGTGTGCTGATCTCTCCCAGACGACATGTCGATCTCTACAGGGCTCCGCAGGCAGTTCCTATGCTGTGGAGTGTGCCGATGTCCGGGGCAGTACTGTGCTGTATGTGGGGCTGTTCATGGCTGTGCCTGAGCAGGGAAGGGAGAGGAGGACATATACAACTGGACAGGCACTGCCATAGACAACTACATGCAAGTCCCCAGCAGGCTGCCGAGGTCGCCACAAGCCCGGGAACTCGGACGGACGCTGCGATTTGAAAATTTAAATGGCCGGTACCGGCCTTAACAATCGGGGCATTTTCCCGAGTAGATGTACTACTACTAGTACTACTACCGTGTTTCCCCGAAAATAAGACAGTGTCTTATTTTTTTTTTGCACGAAAAAAGACACTAGGTCTTATTTTCGGGGGATGTCTTACCTAAGTGCCCCTAGAAGTTTTGCAGAGAGGAGGGGAGTGTGCTGGTGGTGCACAGTACCGGAAGGGGGGGTTGGCTTGTGGGGTTTGGCCTCTGCATCATCTGACTCAGCTCTGGTCGGCATTTTGCCCAGTGCCAGGAACTTGCTGGAAACCAGAGGGTTCTGCTCAGCTTCTGTCAACTAATGATGTCAGGACGCTGGCCGGGGGCATTCCAAGTTGATAATTGCTGGGCATGGAGATGTGTATGACCCTTACACATCTCCTCGCATGGCTCTTAGCGACCTGGGAAGCTTTGGCCAGAAAGGGGATGGCAGACACACTGCAAACATTGTGCGGCCATGCTGCTCTGCCTGCTGCCCACCCCTCTCTTAAGGCAGTGTATGTCCTTCTTTGGGTACACAGAACCTACTGACAGTCCAGGTAGCGTCTACCTTTTAGGCTATCTTGGCATACAATGCAGGCATAAAACCAACGTGACTTCCTCTTTGCTCACACACCATGGTGCAAGTACCTCTCTATAGGCATATACTGTTTAAATATATATAGAGATATGTAGATGTATATATGGAGAGGTACTTCTTCACCAGTCAGCATGACCGGACTATAGCCTTGCAATACATGTTAAAAAATTTTGGGGACAGATAGAGGTTTGTTTTGTGACCCCACGGGGGGGGTTATTTGTTTTTACTTTATAATGAAAAAATATTGCCAAAAGTATTGTGACGCCTGACTTTACACGCACATGAACTTTAATGGCATCTCGGTCGGTCTTAGTCCGTAGGGTTCAATATCGAGCTGGCCCACCAGCTCGATATTGAGAGAGAGAGAAAGAGAGAGAGAGAGAGAGAGAGAGAGAGAGAGAGAGGGAAACTGTGCTTACTGAGATTAGCTCTCTTCCTGAAGCGTCACCTAGGCAACCAACCAAGGCTCGCAAAACCCTCTTAAGCTGCCTACTAGGATGTTTTCTCTGATGAAACGTTATATAGATACAAATTTTTTCAAATTAAGCTTAGTTAGGAATGTAACTGAGGAGAATATAGTTATATTGTTATCAGGATTTATAAAACTGGATCTTTCAGTTATTTTATGAATGCATTTTTGACATGTCGCAGCAGCATAATTTAAAGGGTTATTAAAGTAGAACTATGAGACGAGTGAAAATCACTCAGCCTCATAGTTCTAGCCGACCTGTGACAATGAAACTGTCACAGGTCGGCTCAATAGATCGGGAAGTGAGGGAACACATAGCGTCGCTCGCTCACTTCTCGATCTATCCCTGCAGAGAGCCGTGACTGTCACTCACGGCTCCCTGCAGGGATTCCTCCTCCCTCCCCTGTCCGATCCTCCAGCACTGACTGGTGGAAAGGATGGGGGAGGGGGCGGGCACAGCTGGCTCTGCCTCTAGATAGGCAGAGCCAGCTGTCAATCCTGCAGCTGGGTGGATCTCGACAGTAATGTCGGGATCCATCCCGGCTGCGTCTCAGTATACCGCAAACTGTAGCTCGCAGTATACTGAGCTTAGGGTGATGGGAGAACGCTAGTTTGTGTCCTCCCGTTACCCTTAGGAGAACTATGGGGAAAAGCCTGGACCCCATAGTTTTTCTTTAAACCCTTGCGTGTTTTTGCATATATCTACTGCTAGCAAGCAGTAGATATATGCAAAAACATAAAAGAAAAAAAACCTTTTAAAAAGGGTTAATACTTACCTGTGACTTCGCTGCAAGCTCCCGTCCGAACATCTGAAGAGTCTCGGGCGGCCACAAAGGATCTTTGGGAGAGGAGGAGAGACACAAGGTAAGTCTATGGAGCAGAATGCAACCACACAGACACCGTGGGACATGAGAGAAGAGGACAGAAGAGTCAGCGCTGGATCGGAGACCCACACCAGCGCTGCAGGAACAGCTGAAAAGGACAGGAAAGAAGAAGAAGAAGATCGGATAATGAGACATCATTTAAGGTAAGTCCCTACAGCAGGATTGGGAAGGGGCGAAATTTTTTTTGACTTTAATGTCACTTTAAGGATAAAACATATGGCTTTAGTCCCTGTTTACACCTAGGTGTTTTGTAGCTGAAAGGTGCTAAGCACTACAATGCCCAAACAGAGGATTTTCATTGTTTTCAATGGCCCCTGCACTAGTATCAGTATTCACACTCACCCAAATCCTCCGATACCTAGCCCGATACTTGAGCTTCCGGTATCAGGAAGCCGGACAGCGATTAATTACACACTGCCCAGCTTCCTGATTGGCCAGGAAGCCGGCTTCATGCTCCCTTGTGACGAGGGAGCACGTAGCCCGCTTCCCAGCCAATGAGGAAGCCGGGCAGCATGTAATGACTCGCTGCGCAGCTTCCTGGTTGGTCAGGAAGCTGGCCAATTAGGAAGCCAGGCACCGCGTAATGACGCGGTGCCTGGCTTTCTGATTGGCCAGAAGG